TTGGCGGGCTGACCGGAGTGGATCATGAAACCGTCCTGTGGAGGAAAAACCCGTGTTAGTCTCGGACATATCTATGTTTGTTTGAAATACACATCGTTTTCATGACGTGCAACCGCAAGCTCAACGAATTTGGTCCCAATCTCTCTCAAGCAGTCGTAAATCCCCTCACATGTCGCGATCGCGGACAAATTGCATCGATCCATCCGGCTGCTGTATCGAGACCATATTCGGTGGCTGCTCCAGGGTGGTTTGATCGGCAAAAAACGTACAGTGAACTTCATGGACTTGGCACGGGCAGCACGGAGCTTTCCGGAAACGACGACCTCGCAACCCTTGGCACCGCTCTCCATGATGAATCTGAGGACACCGTAGCAGGCACGGCGGACGGCGAGACCGTTAAGGAGCTTGTAGCGGAGGGACTCGCACTGAGCGACAGCGGAGAGACCGCGGTTCTGGACCTTGGCGGCGTAGAGGGAGACGGAGTTCTCGGGGAACTTGAAGCGCTTCTGGATGAGGGAGGTGAGCTCGCGGATGCGGCGACCCTGCTCACCGAGAACCTCCTGGGTGTGGGTGGCACGGATGACTGTAGCAAAAGAAAGAGCATCCGTTAGCAACCGATTCGTTTTACCCCTTGGTGTTCTTCCTCCATTGTTGATATTCCAACTCGTTCCCCATCCGATCCAAAATTTATTCCAAGCTCCTTCTCGCATTGTTCCATCAATTGTTTCCATCCTCCCGCATTTTCCTGGACGTTCTCCTTCCAACTCTTTTCCCATCTCAAAACAACATAAAGCAAATCAAATCGGGCGACGTACTGATGTCGGTGACGGTGGGAGTGACACGGACTTCGACACCGGAGTAACCCTCCTCAGCCAGCTCGCGCTGGAAGAACTCGTTCAACTCGGCATAGAAGACACCGTCGGCGACGAACTTGCGGCGCTTCGAAATAGCTCCCTGGACAGCAGCCATGTTTGCGTTTCTGGGTGGTGAATTGGCGAAAGAAACGGCCGAGGACGCGGGTGGTTGAAGGGGGGGTAGTCGTTCGAGGGCGAATTGGTCGGCGGCGGTCAAGTCAGTTTTGAGAAGGTCGGCGGTAGTGGGCAGTTTTTGGCTTTAGGGCTTGCTCATCCCTTTTCGGGCTAGGGCTCAACCTCGCTTGCTGCTCCGCGGGAACCTTTCCTTTCTGGGTAAGCTTTCCCCCTCCCGGGCCCTTTCTGTAGTTTAGATTCCCCCGGGTATCTCAGCCTGAGTATACAGGCATCAACAGCTACAATAACATACAACATACTCAGTACAACATACTTGAGTTACATCCAAACTTTCGATCTTTCGCTCTCTTTTCTACTCTCTTCTTCTCTCTTTATACTTACTGCCCCTTGGTTTTCTCTCAGACTTTGAGGAAGTGGATGGGCCACCTTCTAAGTCACCATCAATCTGTCAAGAAACACTTCTTTACAGATCCAGCGGGGTTATGCAACCCCCACATGGGTGGTACTCGGCATGTTTCCTCTCTTTGGGCCTCGACTAGACTATGCACTGGTCATCCCGGCCTCAGAACTGTATCTCTACCGACAAAACCAAGACAGAATATGCAGCGTCAAAAAAGCAAGACTAAGGACACAATTGCTAGATAACAAACAGAAGACTCGCCGCCTTTTATAGATTGCCTGCCCAGACCGACTGCGACGCAATGCGTCATTTCATCAGTTCGAAGGCCGAGTGGTGTCTCTACTCCCTTCATTGCATCTCAAGCTCCATACGATTCATGCTTTTCGTATCCTGGTTGTTCTCTTTGCTTTTGGGGAAGGCCAAATTAGAGATTCCCGCAGTCACAGTTGCGATGCCGCTCGGTGGGGCATTGTTAGCATCTTTGCCAGCGGAGCCAGCGCCGACAGAATGGTTAGCGGTCTCCATCCCAGTCAATACTGGCGACCGCTGAGCACTCGGAGTCTCACGGGGAACCGATAACCCTGAGCCAGGGGCCCGAGGACCGTTCATTTCAGCATCGGTTCTCCCAAATGCTTCACTCCACCACCGCACTTCATTGACGCGTGGGAAGACTAGACGTTCCTTTCCACGTTTGTGATCGTCAATCTGCGGGTCATAGTCAGGGTTGAGGAATTGTTCCCTCCGTGCCAGGAAGTAATCCCAAACGCTCCGAGTACGCCCTTTGGCATTCCACTCTACCCGCTCCTTCTCACTGTTGAAGAGGAATGTTCCGAATTGACACGAGTACAAGTGGTACAATAGTCGTCGCAGGAACCGTTCATTGAACTCGAACCGGGTAGGGTGCTGGTAGAGTAACTGATAGGTTGCATCCAGGAACTGGTGGAAGACGGGGCTTGTTTCCTTGACCTTGGTTACCTCCTTTTCCAGGGGCGTTGCTTTAGGCACTGAAGGCTTCTTCGCATTGTCACCGTCATAAGATTGCATCTCGCCATCCGACTCTCCAAGAGAATCACGACTATTGTTGTCTCTGTTGAAAAATCCCTTGGCGCTAAGGAAAGCATTTTCGATAGCTCTACTGGCACCACCAGCCTCGCCAAATGCTCGGTTCGAATCGCCTCCGATCCGTTCGTTCTCAATTTGGAACCACTTTTCGCTGTTGAGATGTCCGGCCCTGTGCCGGAACATGTGCCCGAATGATAGCCAGTCCTTTTCTACCAAAACCATAAAGCCCTCCAGTGTGCGAAAGTACGGGTCGAGGCAAAGTTGACTCAATGCGCTCAACTGACTCGTTCGATCCCATCCGTCTGAACAATGGATCAAAACATGCGAATGCTGAAGCCCAACCTGCCGGGCAATCAGACCCGCGCCATCTAGAACCGTCGAAATATGTTTCAGCCAGTTGCTCCGTGCAAGTTGGTCCTTATTGGGCCCTAAGGGAGTCACATCAGAGTCCTTGAGAGCATCGATCACTTTGTTGAGGGAGTCTCTCATCACGTGGATGTTGTCGATTCCGAGGTACGCCTTGGTAGCGAACTTGTAGTTGTCCATATTCTCCGATCCAAGCCCTACAGCCTGCATCGCAAAAGCGTTGACGGTCGGACGAGCATCAACAATAAGATTGCGCTGCTGGGCTCCGTAGATATGGGACTTTTCCTCCGGGTCGCCGGCAAAAGACGCCAGCATTTCATCTTCCAGGTCTTCGGCGTTGGTCAGGTCAGCCAGCATCTGACTACTAGACGGATCACTTGATGTCGAACTGGAGGATTCCGGCTCCAGATTCGGCGGAGTGAAGTTTGCGAGCGGTCGTTCGGGGCGGGAAGTCGAGAAGATCGCGGCGAGCAACTTCTCGTCCTGAATGCTTCGGTTTTGGCGCACACCCACCAGCGGCTGCGAGCTTCGTGTGATGGAGCAATTGTTCACAGGGTGCAGATACGTCAAAGCGGGTACCCTTGCTCTTGATCGATATTTGCCAGCATGGTTGAGCGTGATGTCCGAAATGGTAGTCGGCACAGGTATGAGAGCAGGGTAGGTCGCAGAGAACTGAGGTTCAATGGTTAACTATGTAGCAAAATCCGTTGTTTTTTCAGGGCATACTTGCCCCATAATCAGCGTTTAACTGAGATACCCGCCAACCCGAGCCATTCTGGTTCACGCCTTGCCGAGCCCACTCCTTACGGGCGTCATACAATTCCCAACCATTGTACTTCTGCTCGGGTGGAGGCGGCTGGTAGGAAAAAGCATACAGCTTATCGATGCGTCCAACCTTACAGGTCCAGCACTTTATGGTTTCGTATACATCTCGGGCCTTGCTCTCGCTAGTGAAATAGAAGCAAACAAAGGTGAAATCTCGACATCGTAACCGGATTGAAGATGGCTGGCGGGCTGCGGCGGGGGTGGGGCGATAGGTACAGAAGGAGATAATTGGATATGTGATCCAGAGCTCCTTTGACCGGCCAGCAGCATTGGGGGTTTTATCGGTCGAGGGAGGGATGTAGGAGAAAATTATATGGTGAGAGGTAAGATGGAGTGTACCGACGACCTGTTCACCGCGACGCGCCAAGGTCACATCTTCAACCTGGGGAATCATCGACAGAAAAGCGTCAGTTTGTGTTTCAGATTTATCCATTCTCCACTGTGATGGAACTAACCTTAGCAACTCGTGTTCTCTCCATGCCTTAGCTGTCACTGTCTCCGCATAAGCTTCATGGCTGGGGGGGGTTTGCAACAATTGAAGTTCAGTGCGCCGGCACGGTCGGTAAGTATGACGACAGGCAAAAGAACACAAAGAGAGATGACAAAAAAAACTATCTGAACACAAGAAGGAAGGACAAAAACAAAAAACCCCAGACCGTTGAAGATTTCTTGAAGGGGCGAAGGATAACAAACATTAACTTGCAACAAAGTAGGAGGGGGGTTAATTTCAGTAGCGGGCACGGACAACTCGGCCTAATGCGGAGCCCCTCGCCTTTCTCGCTACAAATACATACAGTACAGGCCCGATGATGGCTGCTGCAACTACGTCAATCTGCCCACCCATGTGATCTACTACTATTAACCCCCCTGTAACTTGTGACTGACCATACTTCGTACACTCATTCATGCCAACCACAAGTCACTAATATCCTTGATCGGTCTCAAAAGAGAATTCGCACTGCTCTTGCATGCTCAATTGAAGCACTCGACTAGTCATAAATCCAGTACAGATCAATCTGATCGTTTGCTTGGAAGCATTTCCCAATTAGGAAAACCCGCCTGACTTCTGTGCAAATTGACAGCGATCAGCTCCCCAACTACTAGAATCTCCATGTGATATTATCGACTTGTGAGCTCAAGCTATCACCGGTTCTTCTCTTGTCTATTGCTGTTCATGAGCAGGATCGCAGTTTCTTTTAATATCTGTGGCGACAGTCTGCACGCACTACTGATGATTACTGCCAGCATCAACACTCTGCTTACCACCTGCGATTTTCAACACTACCATCAAGTCAACTAACAACAAGCAGCATACTTGCTCGATCTCCAATCAAACATTTCTCATTATTCGCGGATAAATGTCAGATCTATACTGTCCACTTCCCCCTCGGGGCCAAGATATATTTCGCTTCCGTCGCCCCTACGGAGTGAACTTAGGACCTACCTTCACACAAGGCCCGTCCCCCAACCAAACCACCACGCCAAATGAGCTAGAAGCACTAACAAGGTCTGTCTCACCCTCTTCGTAAGCCCTCAAACCCTTGCATCACCAGTTGAACCTAACCAAAACAGCTCCATCGAAACGAATGGACTCGAATCCACCGCCTCAACATGGCAATCCCACTGGCTTTCCGCCTTGCCAAACGACGAGCTGCTCTGGCTCAGAGATACCTGCCACTGCAACACGATCCAAGTGCCCCTTGGATTCCTCACCCTCGGTCCTCTCTTCAGCCAAAGAACCCCCTTCGAGGGCGCCCCATCCCAGGTCTACACGCGCTGCTGGTCCGCCATCAAGCATCTCATCGAGCGATGCCACGCCCACGGAATCGGGATCCTCCTCAACTTCGACCTTACCACCAACGGGGTAGACCTCCGCTCCAGCCCCGAGCGCCTCGCGCTCGCCCGGGACTGTATCGCCTTCGTAGCCCAGGAGGTAACCTTCCACGCCCTGCACGGGGTGGTCGGTCTACGGATCTCTACATCAAAGGAGACGCCGAGGCCGGATTCCCCCACTCTCCGCGACTGGTACAAGGAGATCCGGATGATAGTCGGCGCCATCGACGAGTTTCTGCCACTATACATCAGCGATAACACTCCCGTGGGGACCGAACTCTTCCGTGACTGCGAGACGCCGCTCCACCACCAACTAGTCCAGGCCGACTCTAAACAGCCAGGATCGGCAGCAAGGGCGACCTTACCCCGGGCGGCCCCCGGCCATCTGCTACTCTCGCGGGACGAAGTCCAGACAAAGGCCCAGCAAGCCCGGATCGAGCGGCCGCAGTTACTGAGGGAGGCCTTGGCGCGCCTGGAGGGAGAGGAGGAAGTGAAAGGGGAGAAGGGAGAGAGTGCAAAGGAGAAATACTGCCACCGTGCGGTTGGGCGGCAGAGTTTCGTCCACGGCTGGGATCTGGGATACAGCGATGCGCTGCGGTTTTTCGATGCCGCGGTGGAAGGGTTGGTGCCGCAGCGCGCGGGGGCGGACAGAATCGGGGAGGTGGAGTTGTGGGCTCGTCGACGGGCAAGCGACGTTGCACGGCTGGAAGAGAACCATCAGGCTTGGGAGCTGGGGCTTCGACGAGGGATTGCCGATTTTAATCGGTTCGTGGGCATTTGAGCTGGTTCTTTTTGATTCCCTCCGCGACGATGTAATGTTGCTTATGGGTTCGTCGGGTCCCTGTGTTATCAAAAGTGATGTGGACTAGCTTTGATCGGGGCATATGGCAGTATACTTCTCTGTCATCGGCCACAAGAAGTGGCTGGACAGAAGCATGGGTACAGTACTCTTCAGGCGCCCGAGACTCGGATCTGCGTTTATTTTCTCCCCGCAAGCACTGAGCTGAGCCTATTCCATTAGATACCTCGTAGTATACATGCCTCATGCCAAAAGTCCCCCCCGAAAAATATAAATACATGAAAATGGGGTCTAATCCTATACGCCAGAAGACACTTTTTTGAGCTCTAGAACACCTCCGGACCTTCAGAGGCCGCCTCCGTTTGGCGGGCCATATCCACGTCAAACGCCAAATTGCATGCAGATTTATAGAATTCATGGAAGCCATCCTCAACCACGGGGTCAGTCGCGCCAGGAACGGCGTTCGATAGGGCCGAGTCAGGGTTCCCGATGTCCTTTCTCAAAAAGAGCTCGGTGACACGATGAGGCAAGAAAGGCCCACTCTCGTAGTATGAGTAGTTGAGCTGCTGGCCGCCGTAGTTGTATTTGTGGACCCGAGTGCCTCGGGCGTCGTTCACCGGGAGGAAAATGTAGTCTGCCGTCAAGGTTTCACCTTCCGTGGCCGGGGTCTGGCCCAGAAGCTTACGAGGAAGGGTAATTTGAGTGAAGCTGGGAAGAGGTATTTCGCTACCGCTGGACTCGAGAGACTGATGGAAAACCTTTCGCAGGCTCTCCTCAAGTGCACCTAATGATGGATCAATTGCGGAGCCCGTAGGAAGCTCATGGGTCAAGCGTCGGCTGAATCGGAGATCGAGCCCGTTCTCTGGGAGAAGGAAATCGAGTTTGCTTTCAGCTAAAACCACCTTGGCGCCCTGAAGGGCAAATTCAGGGCCGGTGTAAAATGGAGACTTGGAGGTATTCACTGTGACTTCCACCTCGAGTTGCGGGAAGACCTGGGCATGGAAAGCTGAAGGAACCAATCGGATGCGGTGCACCTGTTGCTCATCGGACTTCTGAGGCACCAGATTGTTCAAGAACGGTGCCGCACGAGGTATATCTGTAGCGAATGTACGTGGGAGGGACAGCCGGCCAAGTTGAGGCGCGCTGACCGATGTCTCCTCAAAGGTAGGCTTGCGGAGGAAAAGACATTTTCCAACTGCCGCAGTGACCGACTCACAGATATTGGTGGGGTTCTCGATGCCAATGGTCTTGTTGAAATTGGGATTCCGAAGCAATTTGAGAAGCACATTGGACAAACGGGATTGATGCTTGTTAAACAATTTGCGCCTTTCTAACAGGGAGCCGGGTGTCAAGACCTCGCCGGTCTCATGTGGAACCGCCCATCTGAACCACGAATGTCGTCGATCAAACCATGGTGTGTTGAGCTCAGGGTCGATGTTATTGATGCTAGCCATTTCGGTAGCAGGCATGTATGTACTGAATGGTGTAGGATGGTTGTTTGTGCTATGCCAGGCAAGATGCAGCGTCCTGTGAGCATCATCCGCCTGCTGTTTGTTCTCAGCAAGATAGAACATCCGCCTGGGTGTTTCTGACGTCTTCCCATCAAAGGTCACCCCATAAGTCTTGTTGAGCCAAGATAAAAAGTCAGGGCTTTTGACGCGGGCATTAGCAGTTATGTCGTTCTCGCTGACTGGTAACGTGAGGCCTTCCTCCTTTATTCTCATGGTGGCGTCACGAACGATGTCCCTGATGGACTCACATGCTTCCTGTCGTCCAGTTACCCTCATAATGTGTAAAACCTGGGAGACATCGATTTTAACATCGTGTAACACAGCGAGCTCCTCAAACGAGAAGTTTTCGGCGTTCAAAAGCGTATGAAATGCGGTGTCAGGCATGAGGATATCAAGCTGGCCGACTTCGCCAGCGACACTCAGGTGCCAGCAATCTCGAAGGATTTTCTCAGCAAAAGCATCCTTCCCTTTCAAACCCTGAAGTGCTCCGGTTCGGATAGAAGCACGTTTGGGTACCGACTCCATGAGATTCACCACGCCAGGTAGCCAGTGTTTGCCTTCAGAGTCATCCCGAGGTGTGTCTTGGCCTTCCTTGTCGATTCGTTGTTGAATGTAATCAGAGAGTTGTGAGATCTTGAAGGATGAGCGAAGGTTGTATCTAAGATCATTCCAGTCGGCGCGTGTTAATTTGTCGTAGGGTTGGTAAGGAGAGCCTAGCTCGTCAATGTGAGCGATATAGAGATCTTCATCGGCAAAAGCGGCGTCTTTCTCCAGTTCCTTCAGCATAAAATGCTCCCCTTTGGATTCTTCCGACGAGTCTTTCTCTGCGATAATTTGCGAACGTCTGCGACGTTTGCGATCCTGGATAACCACGACCTGAGCCGGGTCTCCCAGGGAACGCACCGAGATTGGTATCGTGTGGCTCTTCGATTTCTGTCGTCTGATTTGCTCTTTCTCGCTCAAGACACGACGCATGCGCTTGATGCGGCCGTGCCGACGTCTGGACTCCTCTGCTTCAAGGTCGTCTAAAGAAAAGAAGCCCCCGACGCTGTCGCCCGGATCGTCCGAGTATTTGTCGGATTTGAATCGAGCAATAACATTGCGCCTGCGCAATGGAGGGGTGTTTTCTGTTCTGCAATAGGGGCGCAGCGGACATTTAAGGAGCCCTACTACTCCTTTCGACGACCGGGAATTCATATGGATGACGAGGCGTTGGGATGAATCTCGGAGTCTGAAATCTCGCGTGATCGAAATCTTGAAGCTCAAAAAGAATGGAGGCAATCGCCGAGGACGCTAGTCCTAAAGCAGAATAGTCATGTCAGCTATCGGGGGGCTTCGGCTCATCCACTTTTCTACTCTTTGAATAGGCTTGTACAATACGGAAAACCATTTCTGTCTCTCACCATAACCAATCTTCAAGACACCTTTCAATTCAGGATTTGCAATCGACACTGAGACTATGTACAATAGATGGGATACAATTTGTGGCTTTGTCAACCGACTTCACAACTGCCGCGATTCACTCTTTGCTTGCAATTTCCCAACTCCGTAGGTCTTCGCGGACATCGAACTCGGATAATTCGTGGTCCGCATTACGACTTTTCCAGCTCCTCCCTTTCGGATTGTCTTGGAGTTGTTTTTCGATGCTCCCATCTTTCCCAGTATGATCCGCGCTCGAACTCATCTCGGACACCTTTGGTTCATTCCGGAAATGGTTGCTGGATGAGCTCCGAGGTCGCTTCTCGAAGCTACTAGGCGACAAATGATTATCCGTCGAAGCTTGCCTTATGCCCGTCCGGCTATACGGGGAAAGTCGGTCAGCGTGGTGATCTGTGAAGTTTGTAAACGGCGAGTGCTGGTTCTCTGCCCAGCTGATGCTCCCGGCAAACAACTCTTCAATCAGCTTATCCGCCGGTAGGTCATCGGCTCTCGAAATCCAAGAAGCGGCCAGAGTACGGCGATACATGTCCTGCATATCAGTGACCTCTCTGCTCTGGGAATTTATGGATGGCAGCCTGCCAAGGTCGTCGTGCTCGCCTTGTTCGGTAGAGACAACACCGGCGATCCCTCCGAACACCATCGCTGATTTGAGGGGAGGCCTGGAGGAGGTCAAATTGTCAGTCGCAAACACTTCAGGTGATGTCTAGATGCGACGATCGAACGCACGTAACAAAGTTCCGATCACCTTCAACCTGGCGTAGAGCTATCCCGACCTTAAGCGTGCTGTTGACTTTGCTGTCCTGCATCAAGTAGCGTCTGACGATGCCCTCATCGTCGTCACTCTTGTCCACATACTCTGACAAGTTGAGCCTGATCTTTCCCAGAAGGCTCTTCTCATTATTATTTCCTCCTGACGCAAACTCTTGTATGACCTCGAAGTATAATTCGCATTCGTGAAGCGTCTGGTTTCGATCGATCGTCAGTCGGACTTGCAGCACTTTCTCGTAGTTCCAAGATGCTCTGTGGTCTATAATGACCGCTTTGTCGGTATGCCCATGATGTTCGGGCGCACATCCAGAAGGAAGGCGCCACTTGACAAAGGCTGTGCCATTCACAAGGGGTACATTGTTGAGATCAATGACCTGAGAGAAAGCCCTCAATTGTCAGCTCCAGATAACGCTTGCGATTGGTTCTCGACGGGGAAGTCCTTACTTTCAGCACCAATTCAAATTTAGGCTATGAACGGATATCAGCACTCGCAACTCTTAAGTACCGACACAAGCGATGCTACTTACTCTCCTGTTCTTCGGGACTAGCGTATCGCGCTCAAGTGTCAGCGCAAGAGATTCAGGAGAGAGATAAGGTCACAGCGCCCTGAGGGGTCATATGCAAGAGTCGGGCGCAAACGCAGAAACATACCAAAAGCCTGCATAGCTGGTAAGCTCAAGGCCTACAGTTCAAGACCCTATTAGGTTCACTCGTTTCATCAAAATCCCCAGATGGTTTTCAGAGCAATCCACACTTATCACGATAACGTCGGCGGTCGACACCATCTCCGATACGTCCGACGGCTCTCCCCACACGCCTTCCGTGCGAAGGCGGCATATCTGGCAATACTGTCGGCAGGAACTGACCGCCCTTGGCGATGTTTGGCGGTGAATGACCCAGTCCGCAGTAATTGCGTTCGAGACAAAATTGGCCGAGCTTCAGCAACACTCTCAAGCCAAGACACGATCGCGCGCGAGAAAACTTGGTGTTGGCGCACGCAAAGTTATTCCAGCTCTCTAGCACGCTTCTTCACCCCGTGAAAAATCAAAGTGAACGCGCCGCCTCCAGCCGCAATGGATCAGCAACAACTCCCCCTCTCGCCGCCTTCTGAGCCGACACCGTCGCCTGCAGCCAAGTTGGTCCCGCTCGACTCGCCGCTTCGCACGACTCCCATCCACGAACTTCTCTCGAGCATCCGTGTGCCCGGCCCACCTCTAGAGCCACACCAGTATAATCCAGTCACCTGTGAGCCAATCGACGTGGATGAAGTGGTGCGCGCGCAGCTCGAGCAACTACGCCAAGAGTTCCCCTCGCCCGAAGCGGCACTGAAAGAACAAGAGCAGGTCGCAAGGGAGATCAAGCAGAAGATGGAAGAGGCCGAGAAGAAGCGCGAAGAGGTTCAGAAAGCGATGGACAAGAAAATCAAGGAGCGAAACACGGAGATGAAGGTCCTCTCGAAATATCAGAAGGTCAAGGCCTCGGATATCCCGTCCTGAGAGCAGAACCCGCAGGAACGGCATGCACAGATAAACATCGTCGCACAACCTATCTGCCCGGCTGCCACCAAGCTTGCCAACTCAAAGTGAAACTCGCGCCATGCAAGAAACAGCGCAGTTCGCCGCAAATGCCGCAATCATATGCCTTGCGTGCATGATGGAAGCCATATTCCGCACGACAGAGCCTGCTGGGGGTCTGGCTTCATGATATATCGACGACTAGCGCTCATTCACCTCGCGGACTGGACGACTGTCCATTTTGACTTTACCTACCAAGTCTTTGGCCGCGAATATGGATTTTCCTCTAAGACCGGCTGTTGGGTTTTGCACTCCACGGAGTCTCCCGTCTGCCTAAGGGAAGCAACGAAATGAAATGCTACGAGCTGCTACGAGCTCGGAGGGAACGTGTGAAGAGTTCACATAAACGACTTGATTCTGAAGGAGACGCTCCTCAATCGTGGGCTAGTCACGGATTACAATTAAGCATGTATCACAACCACATCAACGACGCAGATCATCACGAACAAAGAAATACAATTCAGCGCATGGCTGGTCATCAACAAGTAACTCCGCCATCAGCGAAGTGAACAATTATCCCGAAATTTATGCTCACAAGGTGCCCAGCACTTTGACCAGAGCAGGAAGCAACTATGAATTGTCAGTTTCTAGCTTTTAGTTTAAGTTCAATACGTAACAAAGGTCTTACCTCAGAAGCATCCTCAATGAGCACCTGCGTTTCGTTGACAAACTTGGGCGTCAGCAGGTTGTTAGCCTGACCAAGCAGGCCCCCAACTTCACCAAGCAACTCTGGAGAAAGGATTGGCGACACATCGTCAATGAGATCGCGCGTCTCGTTGACAAACTTGGGTGTCAACAAGTATGTGGCATTACCGAGGATGAAGTCCACTTTTTCAAGCAGAGCTGGCGTGACGGCAGGTGACACGTTGTCGATCAAAGTTTGAGTCTCTTCAACAAACTTGCTGGTCAACAATTTATTGGCATTTCCGAGGAGACCGCCGACTAGGCCAAACATTTCAGGAGATATGATCGGCGAGATTCCGTCGATTAAACCTTGAGTCTCATTCACAAACTTTGGCGTCAACAGGGCATTGGCATTGTTGAGCAGACCTCCTACTTTGGAGAGCAGCTGGGGTGTGAACACAGGGGAAATGTCCCCAATCAACGTGCGAATCTCGTTGACGAAGTCGGGCGTCAGCAAGTCATTGGCATGTCCCACCAAGCCTTGTGTTTCATCAACGAAGCCTGGGGTCAGCAAGGAGGTGGCGCTATTCAGAAGCTGGCCGACTTCCTTGAGGCGGGCAGGAGTGAAGACAGGCGCCACCGCGCCAATCAGGCCCTGAGTCTCATTGACAAATGTCGGCGTCAGAAGTTCGTAGGCGTTGCTCAGTAAGCCAGCAACCTCTCCGAGAACAGCGGGCGTCAACACAGGAGCAACTGAATGGATCAAGCTCTGGGCTTCGTGAACAAATTGTGTCGTCAACAATGTATTAGCGTTACCCAGTACAGAGTTGACCTCCCGGAACAGCTCTGGTGTCAGAGCAGGTCCGACTGTTTCAATTAATGATTGCGTTTCGTTCACAAATCTGGGCGTCAAGAGTCCATTGGCGTTGCTGAGCAAGGTGCCAACCTCCCCTATGAGTTCGGGAGACAGTATAGGAGCCACGGCCTTGATCAATGACTTGGCCTCCCTGACAAACTCGACCGTCAAAAGACCATTGGCGTTGTTGACTAAGGTTCCGACCTCCTTCAGTAGCTCGGGGGTCAACACGGGCGTAACAGCCTCGATCAGCTGCCGAGTTTCCTTGACAAAGTCGGCCGTCAGTAACTGATTGGCATTGCCAATCAGACCGTTGACCTCTTTGACAAACTCTGCGGTGAGAAGCTCATTGCCATTGTCGAGCAACACGGAGACCTTGTGGAACAGCTGAGGTGTAACCAGGGGGCCAATAGAAGCGATCAATTGCTGAGTCTCGTTGACGAAATTCGGCGTCAGCAGATGGTTCGCATTGTTCAACAGAGTGAGCAGTTCGTTACTCAACTCTGGAGTCAACAAATTATAGGCAGTGTCGAGCAAGGACTTTGTCTGGTTTGTTGTCTTGTCGTCGAACAGGTATGCGAAGTGGTGAAAGAAGGACTCAATATCCGTGAGTAGCGAAGGGTTCAAGAGGCCAAAAAGGCCACTCAAAAGGTCAGGCTTCTTTGTTTCAGAGCTTTGAGGAGCTGTGGTTGTCTGAGACCCCGAATTTTGTGATGGATTTGAGCCTGCTCCGTCCTTTGCAGTGGAATCAGAGTTGTGGCCCCCTCCGAGAAGGCCACCAACCAGACCAGATAAGAGGTCTCCGTGAGCACTTTGTGTGGGAGCGGCTTCCGCCGCGGTGGATGGCTGCTGGGACACGCCATCGGCAGCTGCCTGCTGTTGGGCAGCATTCCCATATGACTGCTGGCCGACGGGAATTGCGTTATGTTGATTGGTATTGACACTCGCACTGGGTTGCTGTTCATTTTCTGCCGTTCCTGTGGTATCTACTGCCGGGGTTGCTGCATTGGCCGATGGACTCGCTACCCCTTGAGCGTCTGGCTGTGCAGCCACGGCTGCTGACGTTGGCTGAACCGAGGTTGCCAACGAGGTGCCAGACAGCACGACGGCCAAAAGAAGAGTCGATGAGAAGCGCATAACGAGAGGAGGCGTTTATCAACACAAGGTTAGCAACGAAGGAGTGGAGGGATTGGATCCAAAATGAATGCAGGTTGCCAGGGCTCCTTATATGGTTCGAGACGCCCGTTACTTTTCGCTCAAAATCATCATTGAATTGGAGCCAGGGTCCTATCAAACCTTCGATGAAATGAATAGGATGGGATGGTGTGTTTCGTTAGGGCTCCTACATTCCTTCTCGGTAGCATGGCCGTTGCGGTTCGCTTTCCGTCCGTGAACCAAGGGGATCAAGCTCGCTTCCGCAGCACAGCCGTGGTTTGACCAGGAGGGGACTATGCTTCTCGCAGTAAGTGCTCTCAAGGCTATTTTAGGGGTCCTCGCGGAGAAGCAAATCCGTGTCTGGATGGATTACAACAAGAGATCATTATTTGGTCTTTGGAGGCAGTCTATTTTTTCCGCTTAGGTTCATTGCCCCGGTGATCGACAGGGACGTGTGTAGCATCCGTGGGGACGATAAGATGGCAGGAACAAGGCATTGTCTCTGGAGACTGGGATATGAGCGTTCCCTCAAAGGGAAAACATATCCAAATGCACGGGCCATAGCAAGTTCAACTTGGTACCTGGCTGATTGACGATGTCGCTGCGTCATTTATGCATTGTCCGAGGCGTTATTTTCCTGAATGATAGAGAAGATGGGCATCTATAAAAACTATTCTTCCTTCCCACCGTTCAACAAGCAGATCTAGACACCTTCTTCTTGCAAGTGACTGTAGTCTTCTTTTGAAAGCCGTGGCTATTGCTGCTGTAAACTGTGTCAAAAAACCCACACGAACGATTCATCCATTCAACCCCAGCACTAAGCAATTCAACTCCAGCATCAAGCACTGAACTGCCAACAGAACCAAGTCGGTAGCATGTGATCTCTCAGGCGAGTCGTGGTTGTAGAGCGGATGGTTCTTGCTTCGGAACCTGCAGAAAAGTCTGGAATTTAGGCACCGTTTCACAATAGCATTGAACTTTGATGCTTAAGGGTGTCGCAACGGGATTCGTGCCGTGGTTCTTCGTGAAAGGGTAAATCTTAGCTCGGTTAGAGGAGAGGGAGAAAAGGAATCTTGGAGTAATTATGACCTTTTGTTTAAAAAGCTGAAGAACGAAGACCCTGATTAAGAAGTGGGCCTTCAATAAAGTTGGGGTTCTGGGTGAGGTGGTTGTATTTTCCAGTGGCTGTTCGCTGAAGAGATACAAGCGACTTGAACTAGAGAAGCTAAACCCAGGGGTCTGAACAGTCCAAACTATATCTACAGAATTCATCTGAAATAACGAACAGCTTACTCTCTGAGCGAACAAGAACCAATGGTCTTTGTAAAACCTGCATCGAAGATCATGTACATACCAAGAGCATTCAAAGCTGTTTGTTATTTGGGTGTAGGAGAATAACTTGCCTCAAAAATCAGACCCAAAAATATGGTTTGGATCGAACTAAGCGGGCCCCGAATATCTCCAAGAGCCTAACAAGCTGATACAAACCCCAACATTGAGCCCGCAGCGCACAGGCTTGAAGCATTGCTCTTTTTTTCCGTGTCCAGAGCTTGCTTGTTTGTCTTGTTGGACTTGCTGTTCCTTTTTTCTTTGCACATATAAGTACCCATCCTCAAGCTGTGGCCATCTCTAGCCACTACTCGCTATGTTCCTTAACCTGCTATAGTCACCGATCCCCATGCACAACGACGGCATATTATGCGTATGCTGGTTGTTTGCGCTGGTTGGCACCCCGTTGAGTATCCTACCTCGTTCGGATTCATTACCAACTCTTCGTTAACCCGATTCCGGCCGCCGTGGCCTGACGCGGATCATTCTCATTTCCCTCTTCGCTGAAGGGATTGATCCAGCCGCAAGTCGCGAGGCTGTTGTCTTCCCTGATCCACCATGCCTTTTCAGACCATCATTGCTGGTCGTGATTGGATTGTTTTATTTGGATGGGTGGTGCTCGAGAGGAATCGATCACGGTCGTTCCTGTTCGGGTGGTGCGTTTGAACTCGTAAAGGGGAGGAGAGAGTGGAGTTCAGTCAAAAGAACTGGATCGGTGGAGCTGTGTGTATAGCTGGGGTAACTTGTTGTTAACTTGAGGATGAATGGTAAGTGGATAAGTTGATAGGTACCCTAGATTGTAGATGGATAGGTTGGTGACGCAGCTAGACAAGGTAATAGAGGTGTTGTGAGAGGTTATTGACCCTCCAAGACCATGTGAAGCTAGTATCTCTCTCAGAATAAGTCTCCGCCAGAAATGGCTGGAGTCTCTCTCTGGGGTGTCGCAAAGTTGCTCAAGTTCTGGACGAACGTTGCTTCTGCCTGTTGAGGACCGCTGGATTGGCTAACGCAGAATCGGACCGCCGTGCCGCGGTGCAGTTGGTTTCATTCCTTTCCTTCCCCATCCACCTGAGATGACATTGACTCTGGCTCAGTCAGATCTGACGGTGAGACATTATCATAGACCACGCAAGACACTCCAGTGGAGCTATGGCCAACTACAGCAATACCCAATCAGGAATCGTGGGACGCATCGTCGCAGATCAGTCGAGACCTATCCCCCAGAGTCACCTTGCGGAAGCAAAGACGCGAATAATTCTGAGTATAATTCAAGACAACTACGGACTCTTGATGTACAACATACCAATGAGCTCGAGCGAAGTGTGCCAAAGCCAAAGTATCATCCTTGATCCTGCTCTATGAGGAGACTACTCGCACATGTCATACTCTTTCTAAAATTTCAGTTTTCACGGCTCGTCGTTCCTTGCAACAATTAGGTGCTGACGTCGGGTTTATTCGCCGAAGAAACGGTTCGATCACAGGCAATACCAGTCCTCTTGTGTAGCACCTTTCAAATTAGATGAAGGGAGGTTGGCCACCGTGGTTGTTGTTTGTCGAATTCGAACTAGTCGTCATGACTGGAAAAATTACCCTTTGCTCACTTGTACAAGACAAAATCGCAGCACGACCCCCGATCCTATTTGTCTCAGCTCGAAGTCTGAGCAGATCCTGTCTCAGGGAAGAATATGCAGCAAACCATTTTGGGTAGTGGTGCCAGAGATCCGAGAGTACGAGGACGGGTTCTGGCCAGCACTGATGTCTGAAAGTGTCACCAGCTTTTGATGTCGTATCCAACCCCAGACTGGAATCCCACTGACCTCATCCCAACAGGACTGAATCCAGGCCAGTCGATCTACGCTCTCAAAAGGGCTAGCCGAGCACATGACCAAAATCATATGCATTGTCAGCAGCGCCCAGTGGGTCTCGCACACCCTCTTGTTCAGATGAGGGAGGGAAAAGACCTCAGGCTCCCGGCAACCTGCATACTCACCTCCCGTGCGGCCTACGGAGTATGGAGGACTAGTTCCGTCTTCCCCTCATGGTTATCGGTTGAAACACGGAACAGGGATGAGCCTCGGTGAGGCAGCCTGTATTGGACAGTTGCAGGGCTGGTCAGGGACTAAAGTCTGGCTGGGTTTAGGCAAGGCGAGGCGTCGGCGCTTATGTACGGGGTTGCATCTCAAGTGCCATGTTATTGGGCTATCCCAGACTCTTCCCAGTCTGCTTGTCTGTCTGTCACAGAGAGTTGAACGTACATACTCATACTACTCAGGATGCGCTAGGACAGGATGACCGCAATGACCTCTTGTCTGCTCTAGTTAGTTCTTCGTTGCTCAGGCTCCGCATGTTGTGTTTCAAGAGCTCATGCGCAACGTCGGAGCACTCTCAGGGAAATTTTTGGCTGATCAGCGCCGGTTGCTGCACCTAAACTGGTATTGGAAGGGATCTCTTTAAGCGCTAGATTGTAGTCACCTGAAAGTCAAGATTTTTGAAGTTGCCCGCATCTTACTTATTTTCTCTCATCTGCTTTCTACATACGGACGAGTTTAGGGTTGAGAGTTTCCAAGGTTGCCTGTGGTTCTGGTGAATGGAAGGTTTTTACCCGCTCATTGTGACAGCAATAACTAGCTGCCTGCAGTCCGACCGAGTTCGTTCTGGTCATCCACGCCAATTATTCGTGATCCTTTGCTTGCTGCTTGCTGCTTGCTGCTTGCTGTCAGCTCGAATTCTTCGGCCAAGGATGATGTCACCCGCGCCTGCAGAAACCTCGCCACACAATGGTGGCTTAGTGAGGCGCAGCACTCGGCCATCGCCGACGCCGATGGAGGAAAGAACAACCTCCTCCCTTCCCATAGGTAGCTTTATTCTTCGCTGTCCTCCTCTCCCTCTCACCTCGGGACACAGTATATGCGTTACGCTTTGCTTTTCTTTTTTTATCTCGAAGGTACCAATCCACAATCTTGCCCCAGTGGAGCGTCCCATGTCTTGCCAGCTTGTCTCTCGATTCTTCAGCTCGACTCTATAAGACAGCAGGGTCCACGATATGTCATTGTGCAGCGCTGTAAACGGTCATTCGGGCGCTCGACATACAGTCTGATGGGTCTTTGGGCCTCTAGCGCGAAGCTGACGACGCGCTGACTGCTTCTGTTATGCGGTTCTTGCTCGTCTGTCGTCGGGAGCCGACTCCAGCCGATCAAGCGATGCGCTCTGGCACCAGACCATGAACCGCCGGTCACGTTATACGGTATCATTCATCCTGTTCGTTCAGTCCTCGCATCTCCATTTGCGTCTGTCGTCAAACCCACTTCCGAGCGCGTACTGAGATTTCCAGGCGCAATCATTACCGAACTCGGTCACTGCCGCAATGCTTGACAGACAGTCCAATAATCCGGATTGGCGCGGGACAGACTAACAAACGAGGAGCCCATCACAGGACTGCCTGTCCTCTCAATCAGTCTCGGTATCGCCGGACACCTAGCACTTGCACTCCGTCTGCTATTTCCCTTATGTGCACCGGAGTTCGCCACCCTGTCACAACATCGGAGTCTATTGCCTGGGAAGGGCAATATCTCCAGCAGACCCTGTGGGTGCCGTCTCGGAAAACCATACGAGGCACAGGAGTATCAGTCAGCCTGTCGCAGCCGCGTGTATGC